CGATTCGTGCATGACATCAGCAGGCGATTATTGACTTCCGAGTTTGTTATCGTCGCCGAGCGTCGGAGACTACTACCTCTGGAGGTAAAATTTTTTTTTTTGAAGACTTCTATCGCCATATTGTCGCCGAGTTAATCCTGGTTTCTGCGGATATGCATTTCCTGCAAATCGTTCCTGATTCCCGGTCACATCTACACGCCAGGTATGCCACTGTTTGGAAGTTTTCGCGACGTCCTTATTATGCTCACCTAACTACGCTGTATGTGTTGGTGCTGAGTGCGGACTTCCTTCCCCTACGACCGAACAGTAGTTATACGGTTATTACTGTTCTGCGCTGTGCAGGTGTACTAAGTACTTAATTAGGCTTCGTTCTGTAACTGCCTTACTACGCTCCTGATTTGTTGATTTATATAGTAAACGTGAATGGTTGTAACAGTCTGTAACCTTTTATAAATCTGCTGGCCATCTCTGTTTGCGGACAAATATTGGTTCAGGCGATCTCTTATGCTGAATATTGCTGTGACAGTGTGTGACTATCCTGTGACGCGTGTGATAATATCGAAGGCTGTTTACACTCATGTTTGCATTATATGCTGCTGAGTACACTCGGTTTGGGCGCTTCTGAAACTGTATCGAGACTGACTCTGAAAGACATCACACGTGTGAGCGATGTATGTTTCGGGAATGAACAAAGTCGTTTGAAACACACCTCCTGGATTGGTTGCCGAACCTGCGAGGCAATCCTGGAAGAAGCCTCACAAGCAATCTCCCAACATTCATCACAGGCTGATGAATCATCATGATAAACCTCAAGCATTGTTGCCCCGAGACTACTTTCAGCAATGTTTTGTGAAACGAGGGGCAATGTTTGGGCGGTTTATTTTTTGTAGAGGTAACCTGGGGGTGGGAATTTGGCCCAAACTTTTTTGGGATGTTAGTCAACCCCGCTACACTTCAGAGAATTTAGTCACATCCAACCTAATCTCATTATGATTATAAAATGCTAAGGGCGTATTCCTAAATTTGTGTCATCCGCACTTCGTGTCATCCGAATTTTTTTTTTCCCCAAGAAAAGAATTGCCGATTCGACTTCGGGTCATCCGACGCGGCACATTGGAGTGGTCCCACATGTTCGGATGACACGAGGCCGGATGACACGAAGTCAAGAATACGCCCTAAATGTACCGTGAGCGCAAGATAGCTACAATTAGACGTTCCGTACTCGCGCTAAGGCAGGAATGATTGCGTTAAGACCCTGAGGGGGGAGGGGGTCTACCGAGCAAAAACGTAGTTACAGGCACATTTGAAGAGCACAAGCGGCACAAGCAGGGAAATGTGAACCGACAATCACCGCCAACCGAAACACCGTCCACCCGCGTGGTGAGTGGTTACACGTTTGTACGATCTGGCAACGGTTCAATCAGACTGCCAGGCAGATATTCAGAGAACCAATGAAGCACCGTCTTCCAGATTCGCATGGTCAATTAACCTGGACATGATTCACGTTTGGGGTGGTGTCTGGAAAAACGTTGTAGCGCCACTTTGTGAGTGTCACGCGTTGAATGTAGAGTGGATAGGATGCGTGATGTCCAATAACCCTAACGTGGTCAGTTAGTTTTGTGTTCTTACTACTATTTCGCTTGAAGCGTCGTCTGGAGCTCGTCGCATTCCCATTTCCCTAAGTCACGATTTCACGCCGCGATGGAGCGCGCAGCCCTCGCCGCGCTGCTCCTGCTGACGTGTTTCTGCGTTGTTTCGCGAGTTGACAGCGTTCCTTTCGACAAGTCCCAGGGTACACGTTCATCTTTTACAAGTAGCGCTAAACATGGGAACGGAGAGACTTCGGAGAGGAGAAGTTGGGAGAGGAGACAAGTGAAAAGGACGTGATTCTACTACATTTGATTCCCCTGCCTCCTCCTTCCTCCATCGCCCTTTTGTTCCGCCAGGGGGCGCGCGTGTGATGACTAGATGATCGGTAGACGCATCATCATAATAGAGCACCTCGCTGCCCTAGTAGTAGGCGCAGCGGAATGCCAACAACCCACAGCGTTTCATCATACGGTGGCACTCCTGCCCTTTCCTCCCACTTCCAATCCCTTCCCTCGCCTGCCACCAGCTCAATTCCTGCTGGACTGTCAGAAGTCGTGGAACACAACGTTTGACGGCTGGGTGGTTGGTGGGGACTGCAGCAAGGCAGCAAACGTCACGTGCGATGCCAAGGGCATGATAACAGCCATGTGAGTGGAGCCGGTATCCATGGCTGGAGTAGGTCACAATAACTCCTGCACTTCCATCCCTCGTCCATTTCTCTTCCCCCTCCCTTCTTCCTCTTTCCCTCCTCCATGGGTCAAATGCTAGGTAAGTGCTAAACAGTTTCAACTGGTTTTGGCGGATTTCAGAGTCACAACGTGCTGGATTGTATTGTATGGATCACAACGTTCTGAATCTGCTTTGCCTGTCTGTCAAGTCCGTCTTTTCTCCACATAGTATTACCAGGTGCCTTGGAAGAATGCAACATCGCAATACGTATGAGCGTTTCAATTCTGCTGAGGGCGTGGAACGTTTGGACTGTTTGGAAATGTTGGAAGTCCAGAGAGCCAGCTGGCAGCCCGAGTCATCGTTTAGCGCATGCTCTCAAATTATTTCGCCACATGGTGTTTGATATTTCATTTTCAAAATCCTAGCTGAAAGAGTATGTTTTAGGTTTCTTCCCCTTTTTCTCTTTCTTTTGACGTTGTCGAGTAGTATCGGACTCAGGTCTTGAATACAAGTCTCCCCAGCAACGAGTTTGTCGAGAGGTTTCACGCACCAAGAGTGCATCTATCCTCCCTCACATGGCGAATCCTGTCCTGTTACACTCACCTTTGATTGATTCTCTTGATTCCCATGCCAGCACAACCTTATTCCTTCACTTCTTGATACCTTTCTTGGCACATGCATTCCTGCTGTTCCCTCACCAGATCCCTGCGGTACAGCAACCTAAATGGCACAATTCCTGACTCTATCGGCAACCTTGCAAGTTTGCGTTCCTTGTGAGTGCCATTTCGCCTTGGGTTGTGTCTCAAGTTGGAGCCTGGAGGTATGGCTTAGCCCTTGCGAGCCGAGTCAAACTCGTCAAGCCACGTCGCTCTGTGGATCAGTTTTGAAAGATGTGAAATACCACGTACTTTGCTACCATGCACTACCAAGCCAGGCTCGGCTCGACTCGAGTCGTGTCGGGCCTTCGCCTGGCTCGTCTACAAATCTCGAGCCACGAGCCAAGGCACAGCAAAGGTCGGCTCGCCGTGTCTAGCATGGCCCCCTTGTGCTCTGCAAATAGACATGAGCAAACCTTCGAACCCCAGTTTTGTCATGCGTCAGAAAAATATGGGACGATTATTTTTTATAATTTGCGCACGTTTCAAGCCATGTTGGACCATGTGCGAGGAACCAGGCCTGTATGTGCCTCAACCAAAGCAACCCATGGTCTAAGCGTGCCTCTTTCAAATGTAGGGGCTTGCCAAACTCACGTCTATCTCAAACATTAGGATAGTTGAGCACGTTTTCCACCCGCTTTTGGAAGGGTTTGGGTTTGGGATTCATATTCGACCTCATGCTTATCTGCAGGTGTTGCCATGAGCTGCTTTCCCGGCTGTCCTTGAATCATATTCTCCTGCTTGAGGTGTATCAACCTTTACCATTAGCGATGCCTGCCTGTCTGCACCTCCTCCGTCCCGTGTAACCAGTAATGATTAGCTCAGGGTCACCATGAATGGACAAATAAATGGTATGGTCCGATTGTTATGATTATGTTGCTCATTTGCGGGTTACTATGGTGCTGCATGGATGCTGTGAATTGTTTAACTGCACCGACCCCACATAAAAAGGGCAATATGCGAAGAAGTAAGCAAAACATAGCCATGCCACTCATTGCAAGGCTCTTGCATCTTGTCGAGCCGGCTCGGCACGACTTGGGACGAGCTGAGGGCAGCTTGGATGAGCCGAGCCAACGAGCCGAGCATCTTGTCGAGCCGGCTCAGCTTCGACGAGCCGAGCTGGCGGCTGGGCCATCTTCTCTTGCCTGATCCGAATTCTTGACACAAGCATGCATACATGCCCTGTTCTTGCCTAATCGGGATTTCTGAGGTAATCATGCATGCATGCCCTGTGTGTTGTTGACTTTTCAGAATCCTGCTTTACAATACGTTTACCAGCACCATTCCTGAGTCTGTTGGCAAGCTTACAAATCTTCGTCGCTTGTGAGTGGCTTGTGTGGCCTGGTTTTGTTTTGTTTTGTTTTTGTTTTTGTTTTTTTTTTTTTTCGCTCAGATTGGAGGTCAACATACCCAGAGTCTTAAGATATTTAGGTGTTGCCATGAGCTCTGTGCTCTTGGCATGTGCTCGTAGCTGTCTCCTGTTCATATTCTCCTGTTGCTGCTGTATGAAGCGTTACCATAAGGGGTGCCCTAATCCAAATTTCTGAGACATGCATGCGTGCATGCATTTTATAGCACAAGACATTGTCAGCACATATCTAACTGTAGCAGAAACCCTCTAGACCCAAACACCTGTAGCATTGTCCGGACGAACAAGGTACAAACGAATCGATAGCCTCGCAACGAGTCGACTTGTTGAGACACGAGGTGTTGTATCCTGTCCGTCATACCAGCACTCTGTGAGCTCTGTGCTGACTGAAATTGATTGCGTTTCGATGAGCACCGTTGCAGATCATGGGATTTGCGCGGATGTGCTGGGCTGGGCTACCCACTGGTGGGCTAATCCCTTCTGGGCTACTCCCTGGTGTTTTACCCTTTGGTGGGCTACCCCCTGATGGGCTACCCCTTCATGTTAATGGGACGAGCCGGCTCGTCACAGGCTAGGCCGGCCCTGGTTTGTTCTATCCCTGCAAGAATTCTCGGTTTGACCTAGACGGAATCAGTCGATATGCCAGTGGTGCGACCAAAAGAACCCTTGAAACTGTTGTTCCCTTTGTATACTTTATTGTATTGTGTTCTATGCAGAGACCTTTGGGGCAACACGCTGACAGGCACTATACCATCAACACTAAGCAAACTTCAGCTCTTGACATATCTGTGAGTCTCTAGAATCTAGTGCCATTGCTGCTATTAATCGCATCATCATGGCTCACCTCTCTAGGAAATCACTTTCTGTTTATTAAAAGACGTGTATAGATGTACCTCCCATCTGGGCATGGACAAATACCTGGTTCGAGTCGAAGCAAACTTCTATGGACTGATTGTATTCAAACCTTGGCATGAGCGGGGTTCCGAATCGAACTGGTTCGTTTTTGACCCCTTAGAAAACGAACATTTTTGCTAACGAAAAGAACTGGTTAGTGAACAAACCGGTTTTGCATGGAGCCAATTCGTGGTTCGTTAAAATAGCTAAGGAACCGAGCCGGTTAGGCCAAACCGTGTACTCCCCAATGTTGCTGCCAGTCTGTGCCTCCTGTTCTCCTCTCACATCCCATTCTCATTTCACCTCCCATTTCCCCTCATCAGGGACCTCAGTTACAACCACTTAACCGGTACAATTCATGACTCCCTTGGGGAGCTCACAAACCTTCTTCACTTGTGAGTCGGTATAAGCAAAGGTTTTTAACCTGTGCTTGAAAATAAGAAACCAGGGTTCCAAACCTCTGCACAGTAAGCAAAGGTTTGGGCAAACCTCTGCTTTCCCTCTTTGTTTCTGGTAAGTGTTGACTACTATTGGGATCTAGAAGCTACTAAGCACACCTTTAATTCACACTTAACGGTCCCCACGGGGTCACCTCCAAGGGTCTTTGGGTGCCTGGCAAGGCCAGCCCCTATCCAAGGGTCCGTGTTATGTCGAGGGACACGCCAAGTATGAAAATAATCGTGTGCAACAGAGCATTCCCAAAACTCCTTGCGCAGCCTTATGACGACGATCTGGTCGTGTGCAGAAATTTCTCTTCACGTCAATACGTTGATAGAGAAAACATTCACTCAAAGGATTTGATGACAACTGAGCACAAGCACACAATTTATAGCAAAGCCTACGCACATGCAAAGGAAATCACAAAGCAGTTGCTTAACTAGACTTCAGGACTTCGCCAGATGCGCCAAGGAAAACGGTTGTCGAACTGCTCTTGAATTTGGCTTGATTTGCCCCGTCAAATTAACTGTCTTCAAACTACACTCCTGCCAAATTCCCCTGCTGACTCTCTTCGCGAACATTCATGATTTCCTGTGTACAATCATGAACATTCGTGTGGGATTACCGTTATCACGAACGTTCACAGTTACAAAACGGTTTTCCACCGTTTTTCCCTGTGTCGAAATTGTCCCTTTACGCGCGCGATATTTCTCGCGAAATTACCTGTAAGCCGAGTCAACGCGGAAATCGGTTTTTCAACCGAAATCCCGAGCACCCCCACGACTGCAATCATGCACGACCGATATTTCGGTCGTGCTGTACAGTGCACTGACGTGCGCTGTCCTGCGCGTGGGCAGGGCGATCATTCGCCCTGTCCTGTTGCGATCGTGCCCACAGTGCACGCTCGCAACAGTGCGAGGCACACGCTTGGGCCTGAGGGCCCACACACGCAAAATCAGGACCACACGCGCGGGTCTGATTTTCCCACACAGTTGACCTTGACTGACGCGAAAATTATCGCAGTCAACTTCGTGAACACTCACGACACTTCATGAACACACACGAAAAAGCAGAAACATACGAACTTACATGAATGCATATCAACCTTCACGAACAGCTCACGGAACTCACAGAAATGCACGAACACAAAATTCACGCACACTCACGACAAGTCGCGAAACAACGCGAACGCACACGAAGTCTCGCATTCACACACGTACATTCACAAACACTCAGGAACGCAGTCTTTCACGAAAACGCACATAACTCATGAACCGTTGAGGCGATTCACGAACCGTAAACAATCAAACGTAAAGCACGAAAATGCGCAACTCACACATAACAAATTACCTTCAAACGAAACAACTCACTTTCACTCAACGTCGACGAATAGGTGGTAGGTTGTCGTGCAAACCATGTATTGCACTCAACAAACTCCCCCACAACCTGCCGACTATTCGAACCCACATTCGTTACTCACGGACTCGACAACTCCCTTCACCACTTCTAACTCCAGATTTTCACGGTCGATCAGCTCCACCCCATTGCCAATCCCAACACCAGTTTTGGGGAAGGCACTCTTTTGCTCCCCCACAAATTCAGCTTCCACATCATCTGCTGCAACCATTTGCAGCTTCACCGAAGTATTGCCGCTGTCCCCCGAAGTAGTTTCTGCTTCCTCCTTGCTCAGCTTCACATCGGGTTCCTCTGTCCCCTTATCCCTATCAGCTGCAACGCTTGACAGGTTCTTGACAGTAGGCTTTCCCGACCCTCCTGAGCTCAGTAACATCAGCTTCTCTTCAGCAGCTTCACCCTTCAGCTGCACCATGTCCTTAGGTTTCTGCTGCTCACGAGTGTCACACTTGTGCACTCCCTTCTCCTTGTTCACAACAGCAGCATTGCTTTCACTGCCCCGGGTTCCTGCACCGTTCTTCTCATCAGCACTTGCAGAATTTCTCCTTTCAGCCGCTGCAAGTCGAGCATTAACCTTGTGCAACTCCTGCACAAGCATCTCCACTGTCACTTTCAACTCCATCGTTTCAGCAGCCACTAACGCACATTCTCCCTTGCAGCTGCAAGTCCCATTCTCCTTTTCAGGTGCCACCTCACTCTATGGCACCACCGGAACGTGCCACAACTCGTCATGCAGGTCCTTGTCCTCGTGCAAGTCCCACAGCACTCGGTCACCATGATGTCCTTTGAAGGTTTCAGCTCCATTGGTCGCCGTGCACACTCCTGCAAGTCCCATTTTCCTTAGGGAAATCAAGTTACCCTTCAGCTTCGGCACCAAGAGCACATCTTCCAAGATGATCGGCTTCCCGTCAGCTCCCTTGAAGGCTGCCTTGCCGACCCCCAACACTTTCATCTTGTGCCCGCATCCGGAATGCATTTCAGAGACGCTCGTTTTCTCAATCCCATCTAGCAGGTCCGCCCGTGGGGTCATATGGTTTGCTGCTCCGGAGTCTAGGATCCAAGTGTTAAGGGGAGGAGGCTCTGCCCCCTTCTTGGCAGGTGCCTTCTCATCTCCCCTATTCCCTTGCACGTGGAAGAACTGTCCAGGAGCTCGTTCCCAACCTTGTTCCCCTTCCATTGCGGTGTCTGCTACATAACCAACGCCATGCTGTTGGTCCTTCTTTCGGTCACCACCCTCATATCCGGGGGTCCACCCTTTGGGTCGCTTCCAGCATTTCACCCATGTGTGTCCCGGCTTCTTGCAATACCAACAGGTGCCCTTGAACCCTTGGTAGTCACCATGCTCATCTTCTTCTTCATCATCACTGGTACTCCTTTGGTTTCTGTCATCACGTCCCTTTTCGAGCCATCCACGTTCACCTTGACTGCGGCCCTTGCGCCACCTACTCGCTTGAACGCCATAGCCGCCATCTCCGTCTTGATTCAAGTTGAACTGCCGCCTCCTAAAGTCCTCCTCCAGGATCTTGGTCCTCACCCATTCGAGCGTCCATGACCCTTGGTTCTGAGGAAGACTTAGGCCACTTGTAAACTGCAGCCACGACTCGGGCAGCAACGACAACATCCGCAAGCACCTCGTTTGCTCCGGATAGGTTACGCCCGCAACCTTCAACTTCGCATATAACTCCCGCATCTTGTCAAGGACGGGTTGAATCGGCTCCCCTTCATTTAGACGCAACGACGCAAGTTCACGCTCCAGCATGAGCGTTGCAACCACCGAGGTTGGCGCATGCAGCTCCTTAAGCACCTTCCATGCTAGTGGTCCGCATTCAGCCTTCTCCAGCAGATGCATGACATGTGATCTCTGGTTCAGGTCCAAACTCTGCGATAGGAGGTAGTAGCCGGCCGTAACGCTCGTCCCACTCCTCTTGCAGGTTGGGGTCGTCCGGCCTCTTCTCCTCGCCCGTCATCAGCTTCAACAAGCCGACTTGCCGAAAATACAACTGCATTTTCCACGCCCAATCGTCGTACCCATTGCCGCTGAACTTGTCGACGGTGAAGTTCTTAAGCACCTCTTTCAATAGTGAGCCCTGGCTGATCCGCACTCCCCTTGGCGCTGAACCCCCAGTATCTTGGCTTCCACTATTAGCACGTGCAAGAGAACCTTCAGTTCCGCCCGACTCCATGATGTTCTAACGGCAGCACTTAGAACCACACCTCTGATACCACTTGTTGACTACTATTGGGATCTAGAAGCTACTAAGCACACCTTTAATTCACACTTAACGGTCCCCACGGGGTCACCTCCAAGGGTCTTTGGGTGCCTGGCAAGGCCAGCCCCTATCCAAGGGTCCGTGTTATGTCGAGGGACACGCCAAGTATGAAAATAATCGTGTGCAACAGAGCATTCCCAAAACTCCTTGCGCAGCCTTATGACGACGATCTGGTCGTGTGCAGAAATTTCTCTTCACGTCAATACGTTGATAGAGAAAACATTCACTCAAAGGATTTGATGACAACTGAGCACAAGCACACAATTTATAGCAAAGCCTACGCACATGCAAAGGAAATCACAAAGCAGTTGTTTAACTAGACTTCAGGACTTCGCCAGATGCGCCAAGGAAAACGGTTGTCGAACTGCTCTTGAGTTTGGCTTGATTTGCCCCGTCAAAATAACTGTCTTCAAACTGCACTCCTGCCAAATTCCCCTGCTGACTCTCTTCGCGAACATTCATGATTTCCTGTGTACAATCATGAACATTCGTGTGGGATTACCGTTATCACGAACGTTCACAGTTACAAAACGGTTTTCCACCGTTTTTCCCTGTGTCGAAATTGTCCCTTTACGCGCGCGATATTTCTCGCGAAATTACCTGTAAGCCGAGTCAACGCGGAAATCGGTTTTTCAACCGAAATCCCGAGCACCCCCACGACTGCAATCATGCACGACCGATATTTCGGTCGTGCTGTACAGTGCACTGACGTGCGCTGTCCTGCGCGTGGGCAGGGCGATCATTCGCCCTGTCCTGTTGCGATCGTGCCCACAGTGCACGCTCGCAACAGTGCGAGGCACACGCTTGGGCCTGAGGGCCCACACACGCAAAATCAGGACCACACGCGCGGGTCTGATTTTCCCACACAGTTGACCTTGACTGACGCGAAAATTATCGCAGTCAACTTCGTGAACACTCACAACACTTCATGAACACACACGAAAAAGCAGAAACATACGAACTTACATGAATGCATATCAACCTTCACGAACAGCTCACGGAACTCACAGAAATGCACGAACACAAAATTCACGCACACTCACGACAACTCGCGAAACAACGCGAACGCACACGAAGTCTCGCATTCACACACGTACATTCACAAACACTCAGGAACGCAATCTTTCACGAAAACGCACATAACTCATGAACCGTTGAGGCGCTTCACGAGCCGTAAACAATCAAACGTAAAGCACGAAAATGCGCAACTCACACATAACAAATTACCTTCAAACGAAACAACTCACTTTCACTCAACGTCGACGAATAGGTGGTAGGTTGTCGTGCAAACCATGTATTGCACTCAACAGTAAGATCTCTTGTTGGCCAGTGTGGGGGCCATAGACAACATAGTCGTACACTGTCAGAGTGCTGGGGGAGGTCGTGAAGGAAACTGGAGCTCAAAATCAAGCTCCAACTTCTGCCCAATGCCCTAAAATTTGCGGTTTAACACGCTTCAGCTATGGCCACTCAAACAGGTTCGGTTAGTTCGACTCAAACCCAGTTTGGTGAGTCAAAACGGTCAGACCTTGAGGTGAACTGTACGAGAACCCGCGGTTCAGCGTCACTCTCATGTCTATTTCTTGTGAATGCTGTTCTTTCTTTAGTCAACCTGCGAGCCAGAGCCAAACTCTTTATTCAACATTGTGCCGTTCCAAATGGGAACTTTGCAGACTTAGAGCTTTGCAGGTCATGAATCATGCATGCCATGTGATATGTGCGCACACACTCGTTGGACCGTTTCTCTCCCTGTTCTGTCTGACACCGCCATCCATTGTACGAAATGCAGATGGGTTCTCAACAACAACCTGACTGGTTCAATACCAGCGACCTTGAGCAGACTTCAGTCTGTAAACTTCTTGTGAGCTTGTTGTATAAAACGTTGTGCCAACTCCGTCCTCATTTTCGCAACTCCCACTTTCTAGTCAAGCTATTATTCCATTCCACTTTGTTGTGCATCAGGCATGAGCTGAAGTCCGAGTCAGGGGCTCACTCCGCTGTGATGAGCTGTCGATTCCAGTCTCACGGCTCGGCTGGCTCAACTCGAGCCGAGCTGGCTCTATACATGAGCACGGGTCGACCCGTTCCGACCCGATCCGAGCTGTCCGAAAGGGAACAAGAAAAAAAAAAAACACAAAAAAAAAAACAGAGTTATCATCTGTTCTGAGCAATTTGGGCTTAGAAGGTATCATCCATCAGGTACTTTTGAACCTCTCTTGACCTACGGGTACAATACTTTCCTTCTTTCCGCATGCACACACACCTAGACATGAGCATATTCCCGAACGCCTGTTCGGTTCGACTCGAACATGTTCGAGTCGAACCGAACATGCAATTTTTTTTGGCCAAAAATGTTCGACCCGAACATGTTCGAGTTCGCTGGACTTTTTTTACCGCGCCACCTCGAACTCGAACAGGTTCGAGTTCGAATTACACATACGCGAACCTCAAAGTGTTTCAGATTTAGGGTTGCGTAGATCTGAGATTGAGCTCATTTCGAGTTCAAACGCTTGCCTTTAGTTAAGACATGGCTTAGGCACCTAGTTTACAGAAACATCAGTGAAAATCGTGAACATTGCAGGGTACTTAGGCATTTCCGCGGTTTAACGCCCGTACTTTTCAGATCTATAATAGTGTAAACGCGGGATACCGTTAGTGGTGGTCCGGTGAGACTTTTCAATGGCAGGGGTAACGCGGGTCGTGCACAAGCAGCTACAAAGCGTGGGCGTCCACGGAAGGGGAAGGGGAAGGAGAAGGGGAAGGGGAATGGAAATCGTAAGGGAAAGGGACAGCGCAGGGGCAGGGGAGGGGGCTATGGGCGGTCAGGAATTGACACAGGCATAGCTCTATGGATTGGTCTGCATGGTGGTGACCGTGATGCAGTGCTTGCAGATTTGAGACCATCAACCTTTAGTAGCTAGCTAGACCAACTTGATACTTGGGCTGCTTGAGACCACTATTAGTGCAGGGTGCATGGTTTCCGGAATGTGTGTGTGTGTTATCTCGTGGTGACTGCCTTCCTTTTCCTAAACCTAGCAGGGGAAGTGTCGTCCTGTCCTCCTGGGGAGGGCCCATTTTAATCAATGTAGTAGCTAGAGAGATACATGGATGGAAGGCTGTGGTATGGTCTGCATGTGGCGTGATTCCCAGCATGTGTGTGACATGTCCTGTTGACTGAACCCTCCTTTGTTGTACCTGGCAGGAAAAATGGCACCAAACCAAGGCAGAATATGTCATTATAGTGGGAAGTTTGTGGGCGAACCCGAACGCGTTCGAGTTCGCCACGAACACTAAGACGTTCCCACGAACATCTAAGTGTTCGCCCCTGACTGCGAACACTCGAACACTACTTTCCTGGAAAAGTGTTCGAACGAACTGAACACGTTCGGTTCGAAAATCCAAGGTGTTCGGGAAGGTTCGACTCAAACGTGTTCGGATTCGTGCGTTGCTCATGTCTACACACACCCTCCATTCATCTCCCATCCATCAGTAACCTGGGCTACAACCACTTGACGGGCCCGCTTCTTGAATCACTTACCACGCTTACAAATATTAGTGGCTTGTAAGTGTTTTTTCTCAATCTCGGTGTTCACAAGTTAGAAATGAGCAGCTGTATCAATCAAACTCACGCGACATGTGTTATTTAGACCTGCATGCACGTAGGCATGAGCTTGGTACCAAACCGAACCGGTTCATTTTTTGAACACCGAACTGGTACACTACTGAACAAAACCGGTTCGTTCACGAACCGGTTGCATGGTGCCGGTTCATGGTCCTCTAAAAAAGCAAACAAACCAAACCGGTTCGGTACCGAGCCCTACGTGGTTTTTTTCTCCACTGAACTTTTAATATGGTCATACCAGCTGGAAAGTAAACCAGAACCATAGGAAACACACAGAAATTAGGTGGGAGTGGGAATATGCAAGACTATGACGGAGTTAAAGCTCCTAATGAGCTCCAACTCTTCGTTTTTGGGTTATTCTCGAACTTGCCAACCCAAGGTCGCTATGTTGCGCCTCGGAAATTTGGGAAAAATTAACCGGCGAACCGGTTCAGTTCGTTGACGAACCAAAACAAACCAGTTCGTTTCGGTAAAAAGCGAGCCGAATAGCACCGAACCGAACTTCGGTTCGATTTCCTGCTCATGCATAGCCACCAGCAGCTCCTTCCCAGATGCAGATATGGCCGCAAAGTATCACCCAGCTAGCAGGTGGCATCACGCAGCTAGCAGGTGGCATCACGCAGCTAGCAGGTGGCGTCACGCAGCTAGCAGGTGGCGTCACACAGCTAGCAGGTGGCATCACGCAGCTAGCAGGTGGCGTCACGCAGCTAGCAGGTGGCGTCACACAGCTAGCAGGTGGCGTCACACAGCTAGCAGGTGGCGTCACGCAGCTAGCAGGTGGCGTCACGCAGCTAGCAGGTCACAACACCTAGCTTTATGTGCGCTGGCTTCAATGCTCCTGCCCTCCGTTCTGAAGCATGTTTCCGTCCACCATTCTGTGCACTTGATGACAACCAGTTTCTCCCTGAACCTCTGCATGCTGCCTGGTATCACCCTATCTAGTGTCGAGAGAAGCCCAACTGGTATCACCCTAACTCGACATTCGTTTTCTGAATCTGCTCACTTCACATCACACCTCCCTAATCTACAAATTGCAGAAATCTCCATAGGAACCAGTTTACCGGTCCAATACTACCAGGACTCAGCAATCTTCCTGGTATCACAGACTTGTGAGTGAGCTGCTTGAATGGAAGGGCTGGTTGACTCTCTTACCTCACATTCTCTTGTATGTTTTCCAGTATTTTAATCGGGTGCTCTCCACCTGCTCATCAAGCCATGAGTGCGCTTTCTAGCTATGATTGGTTGAGCAATGCTTTGCTGTACAATGCTTTGATGTTTCAATTCTTGCATTTGAGAATCATTCTGCTGTCTGTATTCTTGTTCCTCTTAAAGCTGCGTAATCGGGCACCGTGCATTCTGTGTTAGAAGCAATGTCATTTTTCCAGAGACTGTTCATCATCCATCCCTTTGTCGTCTCAGTGACACGTCCAACATGTTCCACCACATGCATTACTCTCACCGCATGCATTACTCTCACCTCTCACCGCATGCACCACCCTCACCTCATGCACTACTCTCACCTAGACATGAGAGAAATCTCGAACCCATGTTCGGTTCGACTCGGTTCGAGTCCCGAACTGAACTTTGTTTTTCTCCTTTGCCAAAAATGTTCGGGTCAAACCTTTAAGGTTCGACCCGAACATGTTGAACTATGCTTGAGCAATATAGCGAACCCCCAATCGGTTCATCATGAATCGTGGCGAACACGTTCCTGACGTTCACCGTGTCTGCCGGAAATTCGGCGAACTTGAAGTTGAGGTGAGTTAAATGTAGCGCGCTTAGAATAATTTTAGCGTAGATGTGGCAGTACGGAAGTAAGACAACGGATTGGGTTGGGTGGTGCATTGCGGTACGATGGGTTTTGGGCGGGATGGACTGGTTGGGCAAAATATACAAAACCAGTGCAGCGACAAAAGCAATTTGCGACAATTCGAATCTCAACTGTGAAACGCGAAACTTCGCAAAATGCCGCGAAATGTCGCTGCACTGTAATGAATCAGGTCTAGGGATGGTCCCTCGAACTCGAACTAGTTCGAGTTCGAGGCAAACACTTAAGAATTCGTGGCAAATCCTGAAGTGTCCGCCTGTGACCACGAACACATGAACACCTGTTTTGAAATTAACGTTCGTGGCAAGGCGAACGTGGCTGAGACCACTCGAACTCGAATATGACTATAGTAGATATGAGCACGAACCGAACCCGAACGGGTCCTGGTCAAACTCCCTCGAACCCTTTTTTTATTTGATCGAATCGGTTCTGTTCGGTTGAACTATTTTGGCAACTGCCATGCGACTCGCATGCGGTTCGGAACTGCGGAAATTCGGTCGAACCTACGGTTTCACCGAACTCGAACTTTGTTCGGTTTGACTCCTGGGTTCGTTATAGTCACCTGAACAACACATATCTGCCGCGCAGTTTTTGTATGGTAAACATGTTGGCCGTGGTTTAGGGTCATGGGAGGTGTGTACAGAAGCATAAAATCGCACCAAAACACTTAGAGGAAGCGACTGGAGAGGGATTTGAGGGTTCTTAAAAATAGAAACACACTAGGGTAGTTAGTATAATCTAGTTACATGTGAAGCTGGCTGCTGTGAAATGACAGCCAACCCTATCAGGTTCCCGTTTTTGATGGGTGAAAAACGGGAATGCCGCGTGAGGGAAATTTCTAGCCGCGATGAACCCCGCGAGGCTCGTCGCGCCAAACCGTTCAGGTCGCTGAACCGTTCGGGTTTGACTTCGCGCGGGAGAACGATTAAAGTTCGCCCGAACTGTTCGGCCGAACATTTTCTTCACATCCATGGTTCGGTTCGAAATGTGGTCGAACTGGTTCGGTCAAACCGAACTAAGGTTCGGTCAGTTGCTCATGTCTAGACTATAGTAAAGGGGCCTGGTGCTCGACCCGAACTCAACACTGTTAGTCCAGAAACTCGGACAGTCGAACCTTGCTTCTGAAGAAAAGGTTCAGATCCGACTGTTCGAGTTCGGTTCGACAACAGCAATTGTTCAAATGGGTTCGTATCAAATGTGTTTGAGTTCGACCGTTGCTCATGTCTATTCTCACCGCAAGCACTACTCTCACCGCATGCACTCCCCACACCGCATGTACTGTCTTCACCGCATGTACTTACCTCACTGCATGTACTTCCCTCACTGCGTGTACTGCCCTCACTGCATGTACTGCCCTCACTGCATGTACTGCCCTCCCTGCGTGTACTACTCTCACTGCATGCACTGCCCGCAAAGCAAGTACCACTCTCACCGCCTGCGAACCCACTCACAGCATGTACCACTCTCACTGCATACACTGCTCTCACTGCATGTATGCCCTCCATCTCCAACCATTGTTGCGTCGGCAGGTTCCTCTATGGCAACCAGTTATCGGGATCAATTCCTGACTCCTTGACCAAAATCACATCCCTTCGTGTCTTGTGAGTTCCGTTACTCCTTGCCTGCCAGTACCATTCCTCTTTGTGACTGCCAGTCCTCTCCTCAGTATGACTGCCACTCCTTTTTAACTAGATTATAGATTGACAAAATGTGAGCCCTACATATTGAGGTAGAGCCAAAGTCATCAAATTCAAGTTGAGCCTGGTCGAGCCTGCCTTCTGGTCGAACTGAACCTCTTCGGTTTTAGTCGAACCGAAATGGATGGGGCCAACGCTGAAGTTTGATCCTGGTACTCAGACTCCCTTGACTATGGTTCGGCCGAACCAAAATGCAATTCGGTTGTTTGGTCATGTTTACAGAAAAACACACCTCACATGTGGATTCTCAGATTTCAACAATGCATTCCTTGTGCTGTTTACGTAGGCGAATGCTCTGATTTGACGAGCATTTGGTTAAGCGAAGAAAGTGGATGAAGAATTCTCCACTACTTGAGGAAGGAATGGGGAGGAGGGTGCCCATATAGGTGATCTGATGCCAAAGTGATTCATTTTCCGACTTTCAAAATGTGTGTGGGTACCCGGTGCGACTTCTGTGTTCAAGCTTCGAACAACCATTTTTCCAAATATGTGCGTATCAAGCCAAATATGCCCGGTTTGAGTTTCCGGACTGTTTCAAAATGTTTGAACCAAGCATGTTCGACTACTAGGGCACATTGTCGCGACAAGTCAAGCCGGCATACAGCAACCTGCCAGCAACCCGCCAGCAACCCGTGTTATTGATAAAGGCTTGACTTTGAGGCAACTACATGCATGTCAACCTTTTAATCTCTGTTCTTTCACATCCCCGTGGAATGTGATACAGATACGCTCAACTAAACCGTCTGAGTGGCACAATACCAGAAACAATCAGCAACCTTCAGCATTTGCTCATCTTGTGAGCCTCTCGATCCAAGAGCTGAATGAATGGACCTAACTTCTTAGTCTTTCGTATCTATCTATGCTATCACATGATTTCACCACCCATATCCGTATCTATCCGACAACATAAAGTCATCTCTCTTGTTCCGTCCTCAAGTCATCCCGATTGGAACCTGCTGATTGCAAATCAATGCACGTTGAATTCTGAGTCGACTGAAAATTCAACTTGTTATTTCTCTTAAGAACTGTCACCAACACATCTTGTTGGAAACTGCTGCTTGCTTATCCTATGAATGCACAATACATTATGCATGCGCACTACTCTTTGTCACCTTCCCATCCTTTGCCAGAAGTCTACACAGCAACAACTTCACCGGATCCATTCCATCCACGATTGGACGTTTGACAGGCCTGACATACCTGTGAGTACAGAGACACACCTGTCCATCCTGGATATTTATGGGCAACATGGCGAGTTTCTAGCAAGTGACAAGTCCTTTTTTTTGCTGGAAAAGCTTGCCCTAGCTGAACCGAGCAAAAATCGGGGAGTTCTAAAAACTCGTCGCACTTTGCGCGCATGTGTTTGGACTTGTGCGAGCATTTTTTCACTCGTGACGAGTGAAGAGTTTACGCTTCAGTCCGAAAACCGCGGTTCGGAAATATAATTTGGGATGACACGAAGACAGGATGACACGAAGCCAGGAATACGCCCTAAATCGATTCCTTCCTCTGGTCGAGGAAAACTAACAAATTTTCCACTTCAGTTCCCAACCACCACTTAGCACTGTGAATCGGCAAACCCAACCACCACTTTCAGATCCAGATCCCTCTGAAAACAAAATTGTCAACGTGGACCGTAACCTAGCACAAGTGTATAGCCCGTCTTAATTATAACCTCGCACTTGCATGAGCTTTTTTAGAAGCTCGGACGAGTTTTGGTAAGACTCGTGACGAGTGCCGAGCTTACGCTACGGCCGAAAAAACTCGTGCACGGCTCGCGGCAAAACCCGCATGAGTCCGGCCCCTGATGAGGCGAGTTGATCCTCGTCGGTAAGATTTGGATGAGCACCTCAAGAGTGCCACCCTGGTCGGTAGGTACACCACTCAGCTTAAAAAATTGCGACAAGTTGGCGGTAACATGTGGCACTCGGCAGCACTAGACATGAGCAGTGGTACTCGACTCGACACTACCTTGTTTATGTTGATCACTTGGCACAGCGAGTATTCAAGAACGTGCGCGGCAGGTAGTAGCAGTAGTAGCCCACAGTTCACGATTTCGGAGGTGGGGGAGGATGACTTGGCCACTTTTTACAACGTCATGTTACTAACTGGTTAAAAACGAGGATGATAGTTTGGCGCAGCAGAATTTCCCTAACACACTAGCCCACAGGCGTTACACTCGTCCCTGGTGCCAACGTCCTCGTTGGCGAACTTCAGGGAGTCGGCCACCGCATGGACCTCAACTTCGCTGTGCTCCAAGCAGCGACTTTGCTGGTGGGGTCAGGACAGCGGAGGACCGTTCGCTGGGTTTGCAACTGGGTCACCACCTTCCAGGTCTCGCTCACAGCGGACAATGTGGACCAGCCAGGAATCGAACCCTAGGCTCTGGTACCAATAAAACACCTCGCTACCAACTGGGTCAAAAAGAGGGTGTTATTTTGGTGCAGCGGAAAGCCCTTAACACACTAGCCCACAGTTACACTTTTGGCTGGCAGGCACTGTGCTGCTTTCATACACTTGTCGTGTGCAGATCTTGTTTCCTTGTACAACATCCAGTTCGAAATTGCTACACATTCTCATTGCTGTTTACGAGTCTGCTAAACAAATTCACTAAGTATTTCTCCATAAAGTATGGCGTGAAAAAATGCAAGCCATGAAGCTATTGTTCAAAAGAGTATCCGATCGAATAAGAAACAAACCTATGCATGCAATTTGTTCTCCTTTATGCCCCACCTTGTTTGCTTGCATGCCTTCCTCTCATCAGAGACTTAAAAAACAACAGCCTGACCGGAACAATTCCTGACACTATTTCCAAGCTTTCAAACCTTGTTAGATTGTGAGTCGTTGTTGGGTTGGGTTGGCATGTGAGAGCTGTGCAACCGCATGCACGCAGCATGCAATGTTTGGCACTGCTGAACTCTACTCGTCGTTTGTTGGAAGCACCCATGTGCAGGTGTTGCCGTAACAATATGCCATGTCCAACAGGTGTCCTCTTTATGCCTGATTTTACCCCCCAACCCAAAACGGACAGACAAGGAAAGAGGAGTTGAGCAAGGTGTATTCGGAAGGCTGTGTTGTCTGTGGGCACTTGATACCTAGCCCCTTGCATGCTGACTGTATCTACATTTGATGTTGGGTTCACGCAAATCATGTGCTTTGCAGGCGTCTTTCTAAAGACAATCTGTCGGGCTCGATACCATCGGGAATTGGCAGCCTTACATCTCTAACTGAACTGTGAGCCTGTTGTAATGGACCTTGAATTGTGAGCTTGATTGAAGGCTATGGCTAAATTATGCAAGCAAAATAAAAGCACCGTTTTCGCTCTTATTGAACATAACCAAAAACCAGATACCCTGTTGTTGATTTCGCTCTCGCTTGCACGACGGCACCACCTGTTCTTCCTTGTTCGTTCCTGATAAGGAAGAGGTTGATATCAGTGCGCGCGTGCTGAGCAATATCTGACCTGACGACAATGTTCTTGATAGGCTGAATTGTGCTGCTATTGAATATTCTATTGTTTAACGTCTTTGAGAAGGAGTTGTACAATACAAGACAAGTTACGCTAGAAAGTGATAAGTAGCCATGAGCGAAGTGTCGAACCATTGGATTTTCCTTTTGCCTTAAGATTCGAGGTGAATCCATTCCGCTTTGTGTTTGAAGCAGTTCGGCCGGTTCTACAGTTTGATCCCGAGTTTCGCCGAAGTAAACAGATTTGGCACGTTTATTTACCTGCGTCGAACTGGCCACTCTCTCCGGGTCGTGCCGTTTCAAATCTAGCCTCCAAATCCTCCATCTTCAAAGTCAATCGATTGCTGGAGGTCATTTTTGTGCTCCAACTCCTTGTGAGCCTATTCCGCTCTTTAGCCTCCTCCTTATATTTCGAAAAACAAAAAAACTCTTAGAAAGGGGTAAATCCCCCCCAACATTTCAAAAGCCTTACCGTCAGTCATGAAGGCGTAGGTCGGGTCTAACCACAATACGTTAAATCCAAACTTCACGCGGTGTGTGTCCAACCGGTTTGGGTCTAACCAGTCTACTTCGATGCGACCTGAACAGGTCGGTGGTCCAAGTATTGAAAAGGTCCCATGGTAATTCCACTCGAATATTACTGGTTCGGTTCGTGCCCATGCCCATCATCATCAAGCACCATCAGTTGCATCCAGTATGCTTCACCACCATCACTATCATATCCCTCATCAGGTACCTTGCCAACAACAGCCTGAGTGGCACGATCCCTGACTCCTTCGGCAAGCTCTCAACTCTTGGCTCCTTGTGAGAAACTTTCAGCTTCAGAACACTTTGCTTAAAGTGCAATTCACCCCTAAAGCTATGTATCTGTTTCTCCGTAACCTCTGCTCTCTTGGAATATAGGTGACGAAGTTGTGCTATCCTTTCCAATTTATTCCTAACAAGGTTGCCATCATTCAGGCGTTTTCATTATTTGCACCTCTGGACGCTGCTTTTGTACCTATGTTGGAGTAAACGCTCAACCCTTTGAGCGTTTAGCGTAGGGACGCTCGCGTGTATACGCTAGGTGCTATACGCTAGCGATTGCGCGATACGCAGTCACATTTATTTAGGGCTTCCCGAAAAATAAGCTCGCGAATAAGATGCTTTTTTTTTTTGTGTGTGCATATCGCCAAAGTGGACATGCAAATCCGCGGTTTAGGCAAGCAGTGATCCAGGCACATTCGGCAATTTAAATGTTGGAACTCAGATCTCATTTAGGCATTGTAACCCAACCCATTCACCGCATTTAAAACCATCTTATCTACAAACTCCAACCTGTCAAAATCGACCCCCCAACAAACCTCACACTAGATACCACCAGCCACCACAACTCCTACTTTTCATTCCCGCTTCCAGCAGAGTTCCCACCCATTCCTCTCTCTAGCTAATATATCTACTCTTCGTCCCACTCCACCTTCCGTTCGGATTAAGGAGAATGCTAGGGCACGTCTTCGTGAGAATAGGGAGTGCATTGTTTCCACCCTGCCTCCCTTACCAGAACAGCCTGTGCCCAAACTGACCCTATCGTATCGCGTATGAAAGCTAGCGTATATACGATATGCGTATAAACGCTAAACGCGTTTATTCAAACATAACTTTGTACTACGACTGGAGTCTGGAATGAGCAAAAACCGAAATCGAACATGCTCAAGCCGTAGGCGTACTGGACAGGATTCTGGCTGGGCTGGGCTGCCCCAAAAAGCAGGCCAAACCTTGCCCGGCCTGCCCTGGGCCGAAGGAGCAAGACCTCGGCCCGGGCTCTCCCAAGGGTGTCCGGCTATGTTGCGGAAGACGCAAGACGCACCTTTAGACGCTAGACGCTCGGGCCAAAATGTTTCGGTCAGCCCGAAAAAAAATATATTCGCGCGCGCGAAATTGAATTTCGCGATTTCGAAGCGAAATTCAATTTCGCGACATTTGCACCCCCTCCCACCCATTTTGACCATAGAAACCAGCCCCCCAAGCAAATTTGATACCCCCCCAACCAAAATTGAACACAAACCTCACTGCACCGCTTAGTATCTAGAAAATCCAACCTCTATGGCAAACCACCAAGAGGTTAGGGAGCACAAATCCCACATTTGTGCTCCCCATCTTTCATTTTTACCAAATTCTCTTTCAAAAACCCTTTAGGGTTTTGCTAGTTCCCTCGCAAAACCATGTCGTCTCCTATGGTACGGCGAAAATTTGACCCAATTGTGACATATGTGCATGTCCCCCAACCTCCCCATGCCCCACAGAAGTTATTTTTGGCTGCCCGAACTTTTTGTTTGGCCTGCCCGGGCTTTCGTCTAATCCTGCGTCTAATCTGGCCTGAAATGCGTCTAGCGTCTTAGACGCTGCGTCTAGACGCAACCGTCTAAGACGCTAGACGCGTCTTCCGCAACATAGGTGTCCGGGCCGAGAAACGCCCGGCTGGGCTGAGAATGGCCCGACCTGGGCCGTACTCTGCCCGATCCTGGTGCAATTTCGATGTAGTCACACTTTATCTATCCGCATTTTGTGAGACGGACAAATATTACGCCTCGCTACCCACTAGCCCACAGGCGTTACACTCGTCCCCCCCTGGTGCTAACGTCCTCGTTGGCGAACTTCAGGGAGTCGGCCCCCCACAGGGTTCTCGATTTTGCTGAGAAGGCGGCAGCGACTTCGCTGGTGGACCAAGCTACCTGAGAATCGTTCGCTGGGTTCAAGTCTGGTAACCACATTCAGTTTTCGCCACAGGCGGAAAATGTGGACCAGCCGGAAATTGAACGCTAGGCTCTGATTCCAGTATAACGCCTCGCTACCCACTAGGTAAATACAAGGGTGTTATGGCGCAGCGGAGTGCACTTAACACTGGCCCACAGGCGTTGAAACAACCGCCTAGCATTGTGCACTTGCGGATTCACATTTTTTTTATTTCAACCAGCTCGTGAAGGACCCCCGCGACAAATATCGGGGGGAGAGGGGGGGGGGGGGGGGTCAAAAGTGGGCCAAAAAGGCCCGCCCCGGGCCGCGCCTCGCGGCGGGCTGACCCACCTCTAACCCCGTGGGCCAAAAGCGGGTCGCCGCAGGCTCGGCGGGCCGGGAAGGTTTACCCAGATGCTGCCCCGGGGCACTTTCGGGCCGGCCCCACCCAGGCCGAACCAGGTTCACCCAGATGCTCAACTCTACCCACCTGGTAGCCTGTCCAGTTCGGATCGAACCTTTGTTCGAGGTTCAACCTTTGTACTCGTACGTCCTAGGGTTCGAGTCGAACCGGCAGGCAGCGGTTTGGTTCAACTAGGGGACAAATGTGCAGTTTCATGGTTTAGGGCTGGTTTGACATGGCTCGTCACAGATAGTCGGAACCACGGTTTGACCCGAGCATGTACAGGTTCAAGTTGAACCATTTTGGGTCAAAATCATTTTCAGATTGGTACTTCTCAGCCCTAATTTAGATTATTGTATACTTAATTTTGTTGCGTTCCATCCCGTGTTTGGGCCTTCGCCCTTCCTCTTCATCCCCACCTCACATTCATGATTTCAGGTATCTTGACGGAAACCAACTGACAGGAACGATACCAGCAACACTAGGCAGCCTTCAATTTCTTGACAGCATGTAAGCTTTCTCTTTAGAGGGTCTATATGAATCTTTTCACATCACATTTGGAAAGACAATAGCAATTTCTGTCGAGAAACCACGTCATACACTTACAGGATTCTGTGTTCTCCTTCCTTGTGCATTTGGTGGTGCAAACCAAACCACTCTTGCCACAATGCATAATGTCATCACGCATTGTTGCACTCCATCCCTCCTGACCCTGTGATTGTTGTCTTAGCTCAACAACTCAAGATATTTTTTGTGATTATTCACTTCGATTGCCAACCAATGCAGGAATCTCTCATCAAACTCACTGTCAGGCTCCATGCCACAATCATTCGCACGCCTCATTAACTTGAAAGAATTGTATGTCATCTACTGCTCATCAAGGATAGTCCCACATAGTTGTTTCTCCCCGCTTTAGCTTCTTGGTCAAACTTAAGCGTTTCCTTATTGTCTCTCCCTCAATAGCATATTCTCCCTTTTCCTTTAAATCTCTAATACTCCTGCCATGTGCATACACTGTGCTGTCGTTTTGCCAGATATCTCACCAACAACAGCCTGGCAGGGAACATCCCAGAGTCCATTGGCAACCTCGCACAATTTTCTATCTTGTAAACACTCTGTTCCTATGAGTGATCGCGGTTTCCAAGTTCCAATTGGTCGTGTTGAGCAATAGCCAATTTCTGTGGCTATGAGCCCTCTGCTGGAGGGCCCAGTGATCCTCGAAGGGTAATCGGTTCCGACTTAGAGAGTGTGGGGGTATGCCGACCACCAAATTGACATGCAGCTTTAAGCCAGCCAGTTATTTTGTTGGTGTTCCAGCACAATCCAGCATCCTTTTCCAAATCTACAAATTCGTTTCGATTTGACTCCAACAATCACAAGCTTTTCCGCATCTCCAATTTGACATCGCAATTTCTATCAAGACCTGCATGAGAGAATTGCATTGAATTATGTGTGTGTGTGTGTGTGTGTGTGTGTGTGTGTGTGTGTGAGTGTGTGTGTGAGTGTGTGTGTGAGTGTGTGTGTGTGTGTGTGTGTGTGTGTGTGTGTGTGTGCGGAACTCTAAAGAGAGTGCTGTGCTTGTAGCCCCATGAGAGAAATCTCTCATAGGAAAGGGCTAAGAGCTCCACGAAATGACTCAGTCACATGGATATCTTACTCCCCTTCTTGTGCGTGCACAGGAATTTGAATGGCAGTGGACTCACATGCCCTCCTGACAACACCCCATGCGTGGCGCAGCAACGACTTCAGAGTGCCTTTTGCCTCCAGTGCCCTTCCTTCTGCACCTCCTGCATCAAGCCCGCACCTCGTGAGCCATTACCTCCGCTCACCTCGTCCCCTCCCAACAGTTGTTTTTCCTTTAAATGTCCAGTTTCAGTTTCAGTGCGACTTTTGGGATGCTCTTAAGCAGTTTCAGTAGCGAATTTTGAGGCGCCTCAAAGGCAGTCTCAGTGCGAACTTTGAGGCTCCTCATAAGCAGTTGCAGTGCGACCTTTGAGGTGCCTCAGAATCAGTTTCAGTGTCCACTTCATCCATCCCCTTAGACCGTACCCCGTCTCCAGATTCTCCATGCATGACTCCTCAACATGCCAGCGCGGCTTAACTGCTACTATTCTTGGATTGCACGAAGCCATTTTGAATCGACACAAAATCATGTGCTAGACCAATATGAAGGTGTTCTCTCTTCACCACAAGACGTTTCTGAGGGTGTCTCCCCCTTGTTTGCATCTGCTGTTTTCCCTTCCCCTCCCATGTCCATCCCTTCCCCTCCCATGTCCTCCTCCGCTCTTGCCTTCTTCAGCGCCCCCTTCCCCGTCTCCAGGGAGCGCTACTACAGCGTCCCCACCTCCCCCCACTGCCTCCCCAGCATCCCCACCTCCACCTGCAACGTCCACCTCCCAGTCTGGCGGCCTGTCAGCAGCAGCCATTGCTGGCATTGCCGTGGCTGCTGTGGCTTCCCTGCTGCTTCTGCTGATTGGCATGCTGCTATGCTGGAGGCGCTACAAGAACGACAGAGAGACAGCACAAAAATCAGCGACAGCTGACGAGGGCAAGGATGCAGTACTGCAAGTAAAGACAGATTCTCAAGGTGCGAACCGTGTCTTCCCCTTTCATACCTCCCACTCCCCCCTCATTCCCCTGCCCTTTATCAGACATTCCTTGTACTCACAAGCATTTCGGAAGCACAATGCACTAGATACCAGAACCAGCAGCTATGGACAGCTCGCACAGCCACGACGATGAAACCCGTGACTGCCTCTGTGCATTTTTGCCTCATCCCATGCGCCGTGCACCTTCCCTTACTCATCCAGCGAGCAAGCATTGCACGTGCTCTGTGAAACCAATTCCCTCATCCCACGAGCAGGTCTGGCTGGCAGTGTGGCGGCCTCGCACTGCACGGAGTACTCCCTGGAGGAAGTGCTCGCAGCCACCAGCAACTGGGCGAGCGACAACCAGCTGAGGTCGGGCGCCTTTGGTGACGTGTACAAGGGCGTGTCTCCGCGCGATGGCACCACACTGTGGGCCGTCAAGCGAGCCAAACTGCTTGAAGCTGACTTTCAGCGAGAGGTGAGCGGTTACTTGCAGAATAAATCTTACAGGTGAGTGTCCTCGTTTGTGCCATTCCTTGACTATATCCCAGCCAATGTAGTTGAGCTGTTAAAGAGAGATTGTTTAGACAAGGACTTTCAACCCCAACCCATGTTGGCATGCTCCTCTTACAGGTGCGACAAATGGCTGAAAAGAACCATCCCAACATCGTGCGGCTGCTTGGGTTCTCCATCGGAGGGGACATGCGGACACGGCCAGAGCAAGTCCTGATCTACTAGTTTGTTCCCAACGGTGACCTCAAGATGTGGATGAGTGAAAGTACGTGGAGTGAATTTCTGCTGCTGACCATGCTCTTTCTTGCCTTGCTTCCTTGCATGGTTGAAGCGAAACTCACACATTCTTGTGTATGTCTCTTTGCAGAGGCGCCCTTTCCCCTCAGCTTGAAGCAGCGGATGGACATCCTCATTGGTTCAGCACGTGGCTTGGCGTACCTCCACAGCTTTGGCCTTGCGCATCGCGACATCAAACCCGCCAACATCCTTCTTGGGACAAACATGCAGGCAAGTTCTGTGCAACGTAGTTTTCCCCTTTCTGAGATGGGCAGTTCTCCCTTTCTGCGCTGGACAGTTTTTTCCTCTCTGCATAAGGTCCTGCTTTTATCACAGGAAAAATAAAAAAGCATGCATAGATGAACCGAATGGGGGTTCGCGATTTTGCTCATGCCTAGATGATACCGCAATGACTCCCAATCTTTGGTGTGAACTTGGATCTTACGTGTAACACTCCATATGAATGTCCGTTTAAAACTGTCAGTCATGAGGTTGTGATTTCAATCCCGTCAGAACTACGCTGTAAGATGCTCCATGCAGTCTGATTCAGACATGTACCCACCAGGTGCAAGAACAGTTGCTCTACAACTTCCGTTCATTCATGCTTTTTGCTAATTTTCTTCCTCATGCCATCCATCAGGCCAATATTGCGGACTTTGGGCTTGTGAGGATGGAGGAGGGCACAACAGTGGGCACGACTCGAGTGATGGGAACACCGGGCTATGTGGATCCCATCTATTCAAAAACCTCTAAGGCAACCAGAGCCACTGATGTATACAGGTGATATATTCCTGTCGTCGAGTGATTTGGGATTACGAACTGCTCAGAGGTCAAGTTTTGTTTGAATTCGACCAATATGATAGTAGGAACGCCGGGCCATGTGGATCCCATCTACTCACAAATCTCAAAGGCCTCCAGTGCCACCGATGTTTATAGGTGAGCTTGCATTGCATTCGGAATATAGGATCTAGCTGCTGAATTTGGGGACTGGGTGAGAATGCTTGTGCTTCACGTATCCTATCATGTATTGATGATTCTGGTGATGCAACTATCCAAACGCATATGGATCATGGCCATCGCCTTGGTGTGCACGTGTGTGATACAGACACCACCCCAACTGCTATCCATATCCTGCCCTGGTGGCAGCTTGGGTGTGCTCATGCTCGTGGTGCTGACTGGTCGAAGCCACCCGTTTTATACGAATGATGGGGTGGGAAGTGCATAACTCCGCTGCACTTGATGCTGTCAATCCCTTCCCCATGTGCCTGTGTATGCAGCTTTGGTGTGCTCATGCTCGTGGTGCTCACTGGTCGAAGCCCCTTCGGCACGGATGATGGAGAAAACGTCCATATTCTGGCATGGGTAAGCCGTTTTGCAAGAGAAGCATGTGCCACGGCATGACTGGCACACATGGCATGATTGGCACACATGGCATGAATGGCACACATGGCATGATTGGCACACATGGCATGATTGGCACACATGGCATGATTGGCACACATGGCATGACTGGCGCACATGGCATGACTGGCGCACATGGCACATGACTGGCTGGCACACATGAAGAAATGAAAATGGCCAGCTCCGAACCTTGTCTTGGTGACCCTGTCAATCTTGGTTGCACCCTTAGCCTGATCCTATCCGCACCTTCAGTTTTTCCACTAGAGGCTTGCCTGCCGTCCAATACCCCCGCCTATCTCAAGGTCGCTGCATCGGCGCCCCTCACATGTCAAAATCCACTACCCACTTCATACCCACTCCCCACTTCATACCCACTCCCCACTTTACACCCACTTTCCACTTCATACCCACTCCTTACTTCATACCCACTCTCTACTTCATGCCCACTCCCTACTTCATACCCACTCCTCAATCCATACCCACTTCCGATTTCATACCCACTCTTCACTTCATACCCACTCCCTACTTCATAACCACTTCCTACTTCGTACCCACTCCCTACTTCATAACCACTCCCTACTTCGTACCCACTCCCTACTTCAAACCCTCTCCCTCAAGCATAGTGCATGGTCACTGGGTCAATCTCAGATGCCTCGCATTAAACATTCCATCTCCATTTTTCCAGTTCTTGTTGCCCGCCTTCCTCTCCATTGTTTGACCCTGCAAGCAAAACAGTGCATCTCCTCTGGTCCGGCACCCTGGCCCCCCTCGAGGACCCGCCCCCCCGTCCCCTTCGAGTGATGTGAACAGTGCATCCCCTCTGGTCCGGCACCGCAGCCCCCCTCAAGGACCTCAGCATGTGCGCCCCTGCATGTATCTCACATCACTGCATGTGTCACTAACCCTCACCCACATCCCTGTGCTGCCTGCAGGTAGAGGGGTGCATCTGCTCTGACAACCCGGCCTCCCTCAAGGACCTGAGCATGGACGCCCCGGATGATGCTGTGCTGCGCCTGGCCCAGCTGGCTCTCAGCTGCACTGTGGAGCGCACTGCAAGCCGACCCAACATGGCAGGCATGGCCAACGAGCTGCAGAAGATCAGGGATGAGGTGGTGGGGAAGGAGGAGCCAGTTGCAGCAGCTAAAGTGGATGAGCGGGCTCGAGAGATTAAGGGCTTGACTTCCGCGGATGCTCATTTGCAGTGCATTGACAAAATCCTGGAAGGGGATTCGTTTGGTGACCACTCAAGTGCTTGAGAAAATATTCAGGCAGTGCCGACATTCAGTGATTACGGTGATTACAGTAATTCAGTCTGCTTAATGCGAGAGGCTAAAATTGGGGCGTGGGTCCAACTTGACATTGTGCTGCGACGAGTTAGGCAAAAAAAATGAGAGAATGGGATGATGACCTGCTGATGTGCCAGCTTGTTTCTAGTGGGCAACCAAATGTTGCATGTGTGTATGCGCGTGAGCACAAGACACAATACAAGGGTGTTACGAATTGGACTACCAATATCAAAGCACATTTGCAGCAATGTATATTTAAGTGAGTGTGTACGGATGAAAAAGCATGTTCATTACAGCCTTTCCTTGCTTCGTTGCAGAACCTAGCTAGTGTTGAATTGCGTGTTCGGAAGGTCAACACTCTTCAACTGCAACAAAGTACGACGTAGCTCGCCGAGTCTATACGTACGACAGACGCAAAATTTGAAGCTTTTGGTGTAGCCATGCCCCCAGAAGTCAGCCTTTTTAGACTAATTTGACTACATGTTTTCAGGCTTTGTTTTTAGGCCTTAGGCTGAATGTTCAGCTTTTGGTTTTTCAAGTGAAGGATGATTTTTCAGCTCTAAATCTTGTACCAACTCTGAATATCCATCGTTTTTATCCAACGTTACACCGAATCAACATGGTTCCATAGGAGGCTATTCTGAAAGCTATTTTGCCTAGATTTGAAAGAATTCTCAGAATAAAAGCAAATGCTGGGAAGACCTACTCTAGCCGAAAACCCGGCAGAATGGCATGTAGAGTATGCATGGCAGTGCAGTTGACTGCGGTGCACTATTATAATCGACATATGCAACTCATTCAACGCACCGTGGGTGCGAAATCAATCAGCGTGAAAAACTACATGATTAATCAGAATAAACATTTATATGAAGGTTGATCCTTCATCCTTTTCATCTAGAGTAACCGTGATACCCTAGCCAACCGTTGTGACCGACACTGATCAATCATTGTCCCTCAAAACCAAGAGGGCCTGGGTGTAACACTTGATGTGACCCCATGGCGAGAAAATCATATTATGTGTTAGACAAAAACACCGCTGGTGCCCCAATCACAGCAGCGAGTTACGTCGCACGGGGTAGGAGTTCGAGGAGGAAAAACGCGGCGTCATGCCAGTGCAGCGTCGTTAGCAGCAAGGCCCAACTCAACCTCGCTCACACAGTTCACGATGATGTTGTAAGGATTTGAGGGCGTGCAAAAAAAAAAAATGCACATTAGGGTGTTTTCTTGTAACCCTGTAAGTCCTAAACTTGCCGGGCTCGTCATTGTGTTCTAAAAGATGTATAAGATTTTAGCGACAAATTTAGACGAAACCTAATCGTCTCGTGTCCAAGATCCTAACTCTACATACATATCGGAGCACCCATGGTTGACTTCGTCCCAACCACTCTGGGCGTGTTTCAAAACCGTTCAAAACGTGTTCAGTACTTTTTTCGTTCAAATTATCGGACTGCACCATTTTTTACCGTTGAACAAAATTGCCTTCTTTATACCCTTTCGATTTCTTGAACAACTCGTTCAAAAGCCTAACTTAAACATAACACTACACGCCGTCATCATTCTAACAACCTTGCGTTTTGGAGTTCCTCCAAGAGCCCAACAGACACACGCAAGACTCATCAATCAAGCCACAAAATGCTCGTCGATTCAGCGAATTCCACGAGATAACATACTTTATTCTACCGCTTCACGATTCGTCCACCCGTCATCTTCGCTCACGTTGCTACATGGGCAACGATGGTGTTGTGTGATGTGGGTGCTTTGGCTTGCTCAGTTCCAAGACTCCTAGGACTTCCTCAAAAAGTTCCGTTTTGCTCAGGAATGTATCAGGTCAGTCATGTGATGATCGAGTGTCGAGTTCAGAATGTATATGAAGATCACCTGGTACAACATCGTGTTATATATCGGCACGACACAAGCAAGGTAACCCATTTGTTACTAAATAGATAAGTAACTTCGGGTAAGAACGGACATCATACTCTCACACTTTCCCCACTCAAAGCTGGGTGGCGTTATAAACACACTGTTTGACAAAATAATAATAGAGAGCACGGCGTGCGTTGCCCATATCAACTTATGTAACCCATTTTTTCTTCGATGGGTCATATCCCATCCTGCGGATCAGGAACTTGAGCATTCTGCTGCGTCCGCGTCGATGCGCGAGGACTCGTTCCACCTCATACTCTGATTCATCATGTAGGAGAATAGGTGGCGGTGGCGGTAGCTGACATCCCTAGAACTGTTTGTTGGGGTCCTTGTAGGGCTTCAGTATCTGACCATGGAAAGAATTGGGATGGAAAGGATTGTGAAACTTCCACATAGTCGGTAAGCACAAGCGGAATGTGATTGGTGTCACCATGGTTTGAACACATAAAGGACCTTAGAAGCGAGGCTGGAGCTTGGACGGGAGGTGAGGTAAATCCAAGTTACATGTGTCTAAAATGACTTGGTCTCTGACTGTTACCTTGTGATCACATCGCTTTCGATCTGCATACTGCTTTTGGGAGTTCTACATCGTGGTGATATATTGCTGGGTCTTCTCCCATATCTGTTGCATGGTGGTGACGAAGTCGTGAGCAACTTGGACGTGTGGCGGTGCGGTTGGTTGCTAGGGTGTGATAGAATCACGTCCGTCGCACGGGAAGAAATGTGATTTCCCTATGGCAACATGAGTTGCGTTGTTGTATGCGAACTTAAGAGTTGGTAACTGTTTATCCCAGTGGTTGATGTCATCCTTCCATGCTATGTGGTAACTGTTCAACCACCTGGTTCAGTCATTCTCTCTGTCCATCTATCTGTGGGTGGTATGCCGAAGTCATCGCAAGCATTCTCCCCAAGAATCCCATTAGTTCTTGCAAGAACTTACTGGTGGATTTTGGGTCTCTGACTGAGATGTAGCGGGAATGCCGTGGATGGTGATGATATGGTCGAAGAAGAGGCGAGCAGCTACTTCAGCTGAAGCCATAGTGTTGGTAGGGATGAATTGTCCAATTTTAGCGAACTTATCTATCAACCTGTTTTTTTTTGCTTGCTACTCTGAATCCGCTCGCACGTGCCGCACGAGGTGACGAAATTCTGCACGTCTGTTGCCATCCAGGGCCAGAAGTCATACTTTGTTATGCCGGCAAGGGTTTTGTTGCGCTACGTTGTGAAACTCTTCCAATGAGATATGCCGAGCGGAGCGTAGTTTGGACACCAAACCTATCCAGAACCCTTCTGTACTGCAAGGTCTTTCTCCCACTATAGCAACATGAGCACCACGGAGCGTATTTTCTATAAGGAGCGTATTTTCTGCTTCTGCTATTTCTGCGTCCACGGAGTACCCATGTTAGAACAAGCCCTTAAGCAGGGGGTTCACCCCTTCGAGATGGACCCCTTCTACATGTCCGTGTTGGCTCAGTGCGTCAGCCCTGTTGTGTAGTCCCGGATTGTAGACGATGTCGTAGTGGAATTGCGTCTCAAGAAAGTCCATCCACCGCACCTGTCGCCTGGAGAGTGTAGCCTGCGACTCTAGGTGTCTTAGCTTTTTGCAATTAGCACATCCACACCTTGAAGGCTGTGACTATCGCCAATGCTTCCTTATCATGTATGGGGTAGTTTTGTTCAGCTCTGTATAAATGTTTACTGAGGTATGCAATGGGGTGCACTCCTAGTCCGTAATCTTGCATCAATACTGCTCCAACTGCTTGGTCACTAGCGTCTACTCACAACATATAGTCTTTTTCTGGATCTGATAGGATCAGTACTGGGGTGGTGGTCACAGCTGTAGCTGTTCCATGGCTTGCTGTTACGGAGTATGCCATATATATGGTGTATACTTTTTCAGTAAGTTCGTAAGTGGCGCTGGTATTTTGTGTAATGTGGCGAACATGTTGTAGTAGTTGGCAATCCCCGGGAACCGTTACAGCACTTTGATGTTCTCAAGAATCTTTGTCAGAAATCTAAGGGACATGCCTAAGACATTCTGACAGGGGGGTGTAGAGAAGGGAGGGGCTGTACATTTGTAAATAACCAAGGTACCTGGAACCGAGGATGGGCGAAGGGTCGCGGGGATTGTGGGCGGGACACTTCGCAGTGGGATAGCTCCAAAGAAGGAAGTGGCAGAGGGCGGCGGGTGGAACAAGGAGGGTGGCCTGGTAACAGGGTTGGCAGCGAGGTGACGTGTGCGTGCTTGCAAATGTGCTGTCTGTGTGGTGTGCATGCGAATGTTTCGTTTCTCTTGCAGACACCGAGTCCAGGAGGAGCTGGAATGCAGCAACCCAGCTGGAAGAAGGCAGGGTGATGAACGGGGTAGCAAGCTTGGCAGTTAGCATTCTTCTACTAGAATTGCCTAGCTAGGGTTGTGTTTGGGAATCTTATGGTGGGATCCTGGGCCATGGGACTGCCACTGCGTGTTCGTTTTCGCAAATTACTGTGATTTCTTGTTTCAAGATAAGCAGTCCCTAGTGGAGCCATAACAAGCAGTCATGATGGTGTAGGAAGGGTCAGAACATACAAACACGCAGTCTTTATGCGATTACGCTTAGGAAAGGAGGTAGCAGTAGTCGAGCCTAAGAAAGAAGGAGATAGGAGAATGGTTGGAGAAGGCGAGGAGCGGCGGGACACAAATCAGCCGCCAACGCAAGGAGAAGCAGACGGGAGGAAAGCGCCCAGTGACGGAGCGACCGGGCCACAGGGAGGCGCTCAGACGGGGGCGACGGGCGGAGGGGAGCAAGCGCCCAGCGGATTGGGAGAACGGCAGCGGGGTGATCCACCGACACGGTCTCGGCAAGAAGGGTCGAGCGGCTACCAGCGAAGTGCCTCATGGCAGGGCACCGAGGAAGAGGCGTCGATGCAGCGCTGGAGGTACACTCAGCTGCCGAAGATCGAAGCCCGGAGCCATTCTCGAGAGATGCCAGGCCGGGTCCGTCATTGAAAAATACATCATGCAGTTGGAGAACTTACGCGCGCGCTGGGAGAAAGACCGGCTGGATCCGGAAGAGTTCTTTTGAGGACTAGCAAACACATTGCCGGGCGAGGCTGAGACATACTACCGGATTTCAAGAAAGGAGCTGCTGGAATGGGCATCGGGGTGCACCCCAGGGGAGCGGGATTCGAAGGCGCGCTTCTTGGCGATGCTACGGGAGCAGTTTCCCCTGCAGACGGTGGAGCGGGTGGTGGAATTTCGCGGGTTTAAACGGCGGGATGGGGAATCTCTACTTGCATAATACGGGCGACTAGTGGAACTCGGAGAAGATATGAACTGCCAAGATCAGGGCAGGTTGATAGGCAAGTTCATCGACGATCTGAGCTTCACCATGCAACAGGATGTGCGGGTGCGGGTATTTGAGCTGGGACCAGAAGCCACGCTGAAGGAGGCGTATGAGATCATGAAGCGGGTGGAAATGGCTGACACCTGTTCGAGGTAGAACGCACAGTGGATCGTGGGCCGGAAAGAAGGCGTGGGCGGAATGGGCAAGATCCGACGGGCGCCGCTGCCACAACAGTGGACAACCGGGTCATCTGCGCAGAGACTGTCGTAATCCCGTGGCATGTTCGTTGTGCGGCGATCGCATGCGGAGGGAGTGCCCTGAAGCGCCCACCTGCTCGCGGTGTGGGCGGCGAGGACATCGAGAAGGGGATTGCTATGCGAACAGGAGGGAATGACGGGGAGTGGAGGAAGGAGGAGATCGGCAAGCAACCATGGCGCGCTTGCGGGCACAACTAGCGGAGCTGGAGGCAGGGGAAGAGAAACTCCCGGCGATGGTGGCGCAGGAGGAGGAGGAATCAGAGGAACCGGCCTTCATGCTGATGGCACAGCCGGCGAGGGACCGGGAGGAACTAGGATTGAGGGGCGGGGCGAGGAGGCAGCTGTTCCCGCAGGACGCGCACCGTGAAGACGGACCAAGAAGGCAGGCTAGCGAAGAGGACGGGGAGGCAGGAGCAGCGTATCGGCATCCGCTGGAGCGCATGGCATCCCAAGCCACAGTGCTGACAATTGAACTGGGGCAGTCACAATCGGGGGATTGACGGCACAGCGAGCGATTGTTGACACAGCGATCGCACGTGCTGATCGGGAAACGCTTGGCAGAAAAGCTGCAGCTACACAGGCCAGGGAGGTTGATTGCGGAGGGGTATTTGTTAATGACAGCGGAAGGAGGTGAGGCGAAATGGATGCCTAAGACCCGACAAGCAATGGCTTTAACGTTGAACCCGGGGACCTCAGAGGAATGCACGCTGCGGGTGAATTGCTAAGTCTCGGAGTCTGAAGACTTCGATTTGCTAATTGGGGTGGAGTTCCTGTTTGGAGTGGGTTCAACCATATGCTTGTGGGAAGAGAAGGTGGAGTACAGAGTGTGCTACTGGGAGAAACGGGGCCCTATCGGTACGCTGCTGGTGCGATTCGTGCGGAGGGAGCCGAGAGAGGCATATTAGTGCACGGAGGCGGAAGTGCGCGGGGAGCTAAGGGTGCCGACGTGGCAGCAGGTCACTCGTCTTCCGACCCCAACCGTCGAGCAAGCGGAGGTGGAGATAGATTTGAAGCCTTTGTGCGCTAACACAAAGAAGCTGCTGGGGGCGACAGTCGTGCTGGAATTGTTCGGAGGCATAGGAACCGGGCTGGCAGCAATGCTGAAGGCGGGGGCACAGGTATCGAAGTGGATCTTGATGGAGAGCGACATGGAGGCGGTGAAGATGGCATGGTGTCATGCGGAGAAGCTACAGCAGAGATACCCGCACCAGTTTTGTGAGGCGTCCATGGAGGCGAGCTCGTTATGCAGGAGCTGTGACACTCCTAACGTCGACGAAGCCGAGATCAGGCGATGGGGGAGAATTGATGTGGTGATCTCGGGATGGGAATGCCAGGGATACTCGAGGGCGGGAGACGGCAGAGGCATGCGGGATAGGCGGAGTGTCTTGTTCAGGGAGCTGATGCGAGTGCTGAAGCTGATCAAGCGTGTGCAAGGGGAGGTGCTGTATATTGTGGAAAACGTAGAGATGGAAGGGGACGTAAGAGAACAAGTGCAGGCGGCATACGAGGACGTAACCGCCATCCTAGGACCAGGAGTTGTGGCGGATGCCGCACAGGCAGGAAGCGGAACACATCGCGCGCGGCGCTACTGGACGAACGGGGTGAGCGACGCGGCATTGCAGTACAGGCTGTCCCTGATGGAGCAACCAGTTCCGCTCATGGTGGAGGATCTATTGGAAATGGGGCGGATGCCCGCACCCGTCACGCAGCCCGTCCACCCCACGCAGTTCCCGTGCAATGAGGTGGGAAAACCCAGGCAGGCCTGGCCGACGTTCGTTTCGTTCGAGGAGGTAGCAGCGTTCAGGATGCATGATGGGACGCCGGGCCCGGGGATGGTGTACGACTGCACGGCGCGGGAATGGCAAGAGCCGACGGCATTGGAGAGGGAGCTAGCAATGGGCTTTATGGAGGATGCCACGGCGCACCCCGAGGTGACGGAGAAGGAGCGGAGGAGGGCGCTGGGGAGGGCCATGGACCTCAACGTCATGCATTGGTTGGTGGCGACCATTCGGATGTATCACTCATAACTGCGATGGGAGCGGAAACGGGACAAGGCAGCAGCCGTCCAGCCACCGAGGAGAGGTCAAGGGCTAAAGAGGCTATGGCGCGAGCAATGTTGGGAGAGATACAGGAACATGACGAGATGCAGCACGAGCGGGGGCATCCGGTTGAGAAAAGGTGGGTATACCCATGGGAAGAGGAAGACGAGGTGCCGGTTCAGTACGCAGAGCAGCTGGAGATTCGACTGCCGGGGGAAAGGGAAGAAGCTGTGGTGGACAAAAAGAGGGAAGACTTCGGCTGGTTGGAGGAAGCAATCGAATGGCAACGCAGCAGAGAGAGCTATGGGAGGAAATTCGGGTCGTGGGAGTTCGCGCTGATGGCCACAACGAAGGAGGGAAATGACACCGTGGGAAGCCGCGCGAAGAAGAGGAGAAGGGGAATGCAGCGGCGGCAGGGCTGAAGCGGGAGACCGGGATGGAAGGACAAGCAACCGGGGAGAAGGAGGGTCGGCAGCAGCGGACAGTGGAAGAGAAGGAATGGGTGATAGGGGAAGGCATGGCAGAGGAGGATGCGAAAGCGCTCAAGGAGGTGTTGACTCGCTACAGGTCAGCCTTCGCCTACACACTGAAGGAAGTGGGGAGATGCAAAGTGGCAGAGGTAACAATCGAGCTGACGACGGCGATTCCGGAGTACCAGCGGCGGCGAAGAATGACGCCCAAAGAGATTCAGATCTGTACAGAGAAGTGTTAGGAGCTGATGGAGGCGAGGTTCATACGGAAGTCAAACTCGGAATACGCAGCGGCAACAGTGGTGGCGGCTCGCAGAGACCTCACAGAGCAGGTGCTATTCAAGCGCATGTGCGGGGACTACCGGGGTTTAAACAAGGTGACTATAATGAAGCGGTACCAGATGCCGACTCCGGTTGAGATCTTTGACAAGCTAGCAGAGGCGACGGTCTTCTCAACCTTGGATCTACGACAGGGCTTCAACCAGATCCCGATAGCTGAAGCAGATAAGAAGAAGACGGCGTTCCATGGGGCGGATGGGCAGTATGAATGGCACACGCTGCCGTCGGCATCGGCGGTTTTGTGGGCTGAAGTCGGCATCGGCGGAGTTTCAAAGGGTAATGGTTCAGGTGCTGCGCAATGTGCCGAATGCTGCATGCTACATCGACGACGTGATCGTCTTCAAAATGGATAGCACAGCGCACGTGACGGACGTGGAGGCCGCGCTCAAGGCCATCCATGAGGCGGGGCTGACTTGCCATCCTGGGAAATGCCAATTTGGGCACACGACGGTGGAGTATCTGGGGTTCGAGGTGGAAGGAGGACAGATTGGGATCCAGAAGGCGAAGGTGGAGGTCTTAGACAGGGTGGCGGTGCCGAAAGACAGGAGCACCCTGCAAGCGCTGTTGGGCTTCCTGAACTATTACAGGAAGTTTGTGCCGAACTTCAGCAGGAGGGCAACTGCACTCAATCAACTGCTGCGGGAAGACCTGAAGTGGGAGTGGGGAGCAGAGCAGGAGCAGGCGGTGCAGGATTTAATGGGAGCAGTTAATAATGGTGCAGTCTTGGAGCTGCCGAAGGCGGATGTACCCTTCACGCTGTACATCGATTGGAGTAGCGCAGGTATGGGGGCAGTGCTGACATAAATGAAGGGCGAAGTGGAGAAGGTGGTGGCCTTCGCAAGCCGAAGCTGCAATGCCGCAGAAGTGAACTACTCGTCATATGAAGGGGAAGGGTTAGCCATGGTGTGGGCAATGAAACATTTTCGAGTGTACTTGCAGACAGGAGGTTTACATTGGTGATGGATCATCAGCCTTGACTATGGCTAATGCAAACGCCGGACCTGACAAGGAGGAATGCGAGGTGGGCTATGAAGCTACAGGAATATGATTTCGAAATAAAGCATTGGCCCGGCAAGACCATGCAGCATGTGGACGGGCTGTCACGCTTCCCGCCAGTAGTGCAGCCGTCCGCCTGCCTGATGGCCATGGCGAAGGAAGCCGACCGGGAAAGGGAGTGGGGGGAAATGAGGGTGGGACCGGCAGACATCTGGGAAGACAAGGAGGCGCTGGCCTGGATTCAGGGGGCAACGAAGGAGGAAGGAGCAGCGACGGCAAGGGTGCGAGCCAGAGGCGAGTACTACCGTTGGTACAAAGGACAGGTACAGCTGCGGACAGGAGAAGGGTGGAAGCACGTGCCGGCTCCAGGAGAAAGAGTGCGCATCATTCGGGAGGTACACGAGAAGCTGGGGCACTATGGACCACTGCGAACCCAGCAGCTGGTCCAGACAGGATGGTGGTGGGCGGGCATGCACAAGCAGATAAAAGAGTGGGTGTGGCGATGCGAGGCATGTTGCAGGAACCGAGCATTGTTGGAGCGAGAGAAGGCTGAGCTGCAGCCTCTCCCTATCGTCAGCCTGGGTTACGGATGGTCACTGGATATTGCGGGGGAGCTGCCGGTGACAACGAAGGGGAGGAGGTATATCCTGCTGATGGTAGAACATGTGAGCAAGTGGGCAGAGGCGAAGCCCTTGGTGCACAAGACAGCAGAGGCGGTAGCGGAGGTATTTGAGGAAATGGTCATTACCTGACTGGGGGCATGTGGGGAGGTGCTAACAGACCAAGGCACAGAATTCCAGGGAGAATTTGACGAGCTGCTCAAGGCAAGTGGCATTCGCCACCGCAGCACGTCATGTTACCATCCTCAGAGCGACGGCCTGACTGAGAGGTTGGTGCAGACAGTGAAAAGGGGGCTGCGGGCGTATGGGGAGGCGCACAAGAGGGACTGGGACAAAAAGTTGTGTTGGGTGATGGCGGGGTATCGATTGAGTAAGCAAGCGGCGCTTCTGGACGTGTCGCCGTACTACCTGTTGTTCGGCAAGGAACCGATAATATCAGTAGAGGCACCGAAGCTGCTGGTGGACGCGGTCCTTACATGCTCAGTGGATAAATGGGTGGCAGTGGCAGACGCGCGGGCATCATACTTGCGGCATTTGTTCCCCGCAACGATGGAGAACTTGCACGTGGCGCAACTCCGAGACATAGAGAGGTACAAGCAGTGGCAGGAGTCAGCAGGCAATGGAAAAGGGGGGGGGTGTAGAGGAGGGAGAAGAAGTGTATCTGAGGAGGCAGCACAAGCATGCCTGGACGTGGGGTTATCTCAGCAACGGTGGACCGTGAAGGAAGTGAAGCAGTCGGGAGTGATAGTGCTAGAAGATGGAAAGGGGAAGCGCGTGGCAGATCACGTCACCAATGTGGCCAGGATTCACATTGACAAGGAGAAGGTCCGGCCCTCAGGTCCCATAACGCGCTCGAGGATGGCGGCTGAGCGTCAAGGGAGAGGGCAGGAAGGGCTAGAACAGAAGCAGAGCATGGGCAAAGGCAAAGAAAAAGTGGGGTAGACGGAGAGAGAAGAGAGATTGGGTTGGGAAGGGAGGGAGATGAGACAGAGGGTGAGGAGGGAGCGCAGTGATCAGAGCACAGGCCAGAAAAGGAGCAAGGAAAGAGGGAGCATGTGATCAATGAGGGAGGTTTCCGACAGCTGTCAGAATTCTAAGGGATATGCCCAAGACATTCTGACAGGGGGGTGTAGAGAAGGGAGGGGTTGTACATTTGTAAATAATCGAGGTACCTGGAACCGAGGATGGGCGAAGAGTTGCGGGGATTGTGGGCGGGACACTTGGCAGTGGGATAGCTCCAAAGAAGGAAGTTGCAGAGGGCGGTGGGTGGAACAAGGAGGGTGGCCTGGTAACAGGGTTGGCAGCAAGGTGACGTGTGCGTGCTTGCGAATGTGCTGTCTGTGTGGTGTGCATGCGAATGTTTCGTTTCTCTTGCAGACACCGAGTCCAGGAGGAGTTGGAATGCAACAACCCAGCTGGAAGAAGGCAGAGTGATGAACAGGGTAGCAACCTTGGCAGTTAGCATTCTCCTGCTAGAATTGCCTAGCTAGGGTTGTGTGTGGGAGGCTTATGGTGGGATCTTGGGCCATGGGACTGCCACTGCGTGTTTGTTTTTGCAAATTACTGTGATTTCTTGTTTCAAGATAAGCTGTCCCTAGCGGAGCCATAACAAGAAGTCATGATGGTGTAGGAAGGGTCGGAACATAGGAAGGGCCAGAACAGAAGCAGAGCTTGGGCAAAGGCAAAGAAAAAGTGGGGTAGACGGAGAGAGAAGAGATATTGGGTTGGGAAGGGAGGAAGATGAGACAGACGGTGAGGAGGGAGCACAGTGATCAGAGCACAGGCCAGAAAAGGAGCAAGGAAAGAGGGAGCAGGTGATCAATGATGGAGGTTTCCGACACCTTCCACTTATTTTACGGCTTCGATCTTCTGCGGGTCCACATGTAAGCCCTCGGCACTCACCATGTGCCCAAGGAACCGCACCTTCTTCAGGGCGAGGTTGCTTGTAAACAGCTTCATGTGAAATTAGTTTTTCCGCGGGATGTCGTAGAATTTCCCCAGATGCTCCGCGTGCTCCTTCATATCACTTGAGTACCTCGGAATGTCATCCAGGTACACAACCACACACTCGTCCAGTAGGGGGCATAAGATATGGTTCATCCTATCTGAAATGTTGCTAGTGCGTTGCAGAGTCCGAATGGCATCACCAAGTATTTTATAAGAGTTGTATCTGATACGGAACGCAGTTCTTCGGAAATAATGTCCTCCATCTTGATTTTCTAGTAACCCAACCGCAAGTCCAGTTCTGAGAAGAATGTTTGCATCACGCCGTTGATCCATGAGGTCATCTATCCGCAGTATTGGATACAAATATCTTAGTGTTCAGTGCCCGGTAGTTGATGCAAATCGGTAGACTACCGTCTGGCTTTGGAGTGAATAGGTGTGGAGGGTCGGATCAGTTTACGATCTAGCAAGTACTCAATCTCCTTTTTCATACTTGCAAGCTGTTTTGGGCTGAGGCGATACGGTGCACGGAAGGCTGGTTTTGAACCGGTTCCTCGACAATTTCGTGCTGGTGAGTTCGCTTCGGGGGCACTCCTATAGGTAGGTCGTCCGGCATTATGTATTTGTACTCCTCTAGAACCTTCTGTCCTGCTGCATGTAGCTCGGAGTCCGACTTGTCCACTTCTGCTGCCATCACCAGTGCCAGGTAACACGTGTTGCTCTCTTCACCGTTTTCTCGAACTGTGCAAGTGTCGCCTCAGGAATCTCATCTGTGTCCGTCCAGCTTCGTAGCTCCTTACGTTTCCCGTTGTTGTAGATGCACGCTTTTTAGTTAACCCAATCAGTCTTGGGGGTGAGCCGTTTCAAGAAAGAGAGAACACCATTAAACACAGTGACATGATTTAGTCGACATAGTAACCTAGCAACCTAGCCATTCGGCATCAAGAACAGCAGAAAGGCGGCTTGGCAACGCTGCCATATGGTGTCATGCCAACGCAGCTGGAAGGCGGCTTACCAACACTACATGATGGCGGCCTTCGAGCATTGCACCGG